AGGGAGTCTAGGAGGAAGCACTGGCTGTAAATTGTCACACTTATTATGATCCCAGACCTACTGTTCTTTAGTTCTTTGGTGAGGAAGGAAGAGAAAGGGAAGCAGAGGTGGGTATGGGCTACCCAGGATATACAGAACCACTGCTTGGGTATGCAGCAATTGAGACAGAAAAGCGAAGGATCAGCTGGAGATCGATCTAGTAAGGGATGTGAAGGGGGAGTGAAAAAGGTTTCTGTAAGCACATCAGCAGCAACAAGGCAACTAAATAAATAGTGAGGCTGTTGCACAATGGGGGCAGGAAACCTAGTGAGAAAGTACATGGAAAAAGCAGGGAAATTACCTTTGTCTTGCTTTTTACCAGTAAAATCTGTCCCCAGGCCCCTCAGCTCCACAAGTTTACCAGAAAATTCTGCATTACCTGCAGACAGGGCACTTGGAGCACATACACAATCCTGAGACCAGAACAGAAACCTCCAGTGGTGCTGAGACAGCTGGCTGATGACTTTGTGAGGTTGCTACTACCTTCAAAAGGCCAAGTCAGACAAGGGGGTTCTGGTAAGTAGTACAGACAAACCCCCATCTTGAAGAGTAAGAAGCAAGATCTGGGAAACTACAAGATGTCTGGGCACACCTCTGTTCCTGGGAAGTTTATGGTGCAAATGTCCCTGGAAGCCATTTCCAAGCATATGAAGAGCAAAGGAGATATTGGGAACAACTAATTTGGATTTACCAAATCGCAGCTGACCCACCAGTTTGCCAGACCTGTGGATAAGGGGACAGCAGTGGATGTTGTACACCTTGACTAAAAGCCTGGCTTTTGAAATGGTCTATCATCATGTCCCATAGCTAAACCAGTGGAACATGAGCTGCAATCTCATCAGATGATGCTGAACTGGGGAAATAGTGTGCTGTAGTGAGAGGCTGCTGTTCAGAGATAACTTCATAGGATGGAGATACAGGCTGAAAGCATCTTTGGAGAAAAAGTCTGGAGGAGCTCAGTGTGCTCAACTCCAAGAAGAGTAGGCCAGGGAGAACCTTATTGCTCACTTAAAGAAGAGTGCAGGGAAACAAAACTACTCTTGGATGTGCACAGTGGAAGGATCAGAAGCTTGAACATGGCCACTTCAATTAGTTATAAGAAAAGAGGTGTAGGATTTTTTTTCTTTTCTATGTTTGCTTTTAAACTGTGAGGGTGGTCAAATACCTGGCCATGTTGCCCAGGTGACCTCCAGGACTGGCTCTCAACAAAAATTATTCTAACATCAAGTCTGCAAGTAGAGAAAGCACAGAGCAGAGATCTCAGCACAGTACTACTGTGAATTGTTCCTGTCGGTAGCACAGTAAAGTGGCACATTAACATGCCAGTGAATGACCCAGAGAATATTACTCTCAGTTATACAGGGGGGCACCAAAACCATGCAATCAGTTTCTTCTCAGTTATCCTCAAAGGATATGCATTTGGATTAGAATGCACGGATAATTATGATCATAATCAATACAAGATTCACTCAGCTGGATGCAAAAAGAGTTTACATTTCCTTTGTTAATTTGTTGACATGAGACATAAGATTTATCTGTCTGTGCCTTGGTTTTCTCTGTTAGTGCAAGACAGGAGGACTGAAATTAACTATATCAGGGGGGTGTGGGCATTTTATTTTAAAATCCACAGGAAGTGCTTCATAGGTAGAAAATAATACAAAATATATAAATTCAAATAACAAGCAGCACGTCTTGTTAAGACATGCAGGAATTTGCCTCATGAAGCTAAGACTAACTCTTCACATCTTCTGGCTGCACTTATAATTAATACATTCTTCCTTGCTGACTAGTATATGGGACTCTTACAGATTTTCACCTGAATTTCAGCATAAACGACTCATGGAAACTAAGCAGAACATGCCAGATGGATCTGCAGTGGTAAGAACAGCTTTCAGGGATGACTTTTCTCTGAACTAGGAAAGGAGAATTTTCACTGCAATCCTTGCCATGTGGTAAATAGAACTTAAAACCAAAAAAGATATTCATTTATTTAAATTTAAAATTCCTGAAATTAAAAGTCTAAAATTCTGCTTTCAGCACTTGCAGAAGAAAGTCAATCAGTTAAAGTCATAGCTATGACAGACAAATGTTTAAACAGCTGGAATACTTACATGAAGGCTCATTAAGCCTACTTACTTGAAGGAACTTCAAGATTCCCAAATAAAATTATTTTCTAGAATAACTATCAATTCTTGTTCTTCCACGGCAGTATCTATGGAGTCATAACTAGGTCTACTAAAGTAGGTACATTAAGGGCTTGAGATACAGGTCTTGTGTCTTGACACAGGAAAGACAAAGCTAAAGCAAAAACTTCAGATGCAAATGAAAGAGTTGTTAGAGTGAACAACATGAGAAGTACTGAGATAGTCATAAAATCCCCATTCCTGTTTCATAGTTTAAAGCTAATCTGACTTGTCAAGAGTATGAACATTCCAAACATACCAAGATATTTTGGTTCTCATTAGCAGAAGATTCATTATTATTTGATGTCCACTTGGTCATTACACTTACTAAATTTAGAAGCACCACCAAAGAAGGCAGCACCTACCATATCTAGTCTCATCTGAAATTAATTTTAAACTCATTGATGTCTCTAACATTTAGAGACTGGGGCTGATAACTGATGCAATGAGTTCTTAGTATCTGCCTGACCTGACAAACACTGCCAACTCCAGCACAAGCATTCAGGAGAGGGCTGCTTTTGCCTCCAACACTACAGTTCCACAAGCACCTCAAGGCAGTTTAAAACTATTCTGAGACAGACTGGCTCCCCATGCCACAGCCATTCTTCCCTTGACTGGGTACAGCCATCCTGAGAAGCTACAGAGTGAGCTGGTCTGGGTTCAAAACAAACTAAGCCCTAAGGAGGAGAAGGCTTTAATGACCTTCTTGTTCCAGATCATTATGTGGGTGCACTAATGCTCTGACTGGCACACAGGAAAGGGGGCAGATAGGATTGCCATTTTCTTTCATCTACAGTCCCAAATGTTTGGTAGAAAACAGCACAAAGCTGCCCAATTACAGACCTAGCTGTGACTAAGGGTGCCCCTGGACACCAGCCTTGTGACATGGTCAGTGTTCAGTGGGTGCCCGTCATTGCCAGGCTAAATTCTCTAGTTTTGTCAAATCACTCAAGTTTTTGTAGGCAATGAATCCTAACGACATACAAAAGGACATGAACACAGGAAGTGGGGTGGAGGGGTTGAGACAGAAACAGAGACAACAGCTGAGTAAAAACAAATCCAAACCCTTCTGTGGCATTTTTTTTTTTTTTGTGGAGGTAAATGGACTCAATAAATGAAGCAATGAAACTGTGTCGTGATTAAATAATTGTCTATTTCAACGCACCATAGTGCTGTAACTAACTCCTGTTCATGTGTAGTCCTGACTAATGTCCACCAGTATTTACTCTAGAGGATAGAAACAATTCACGATACAACCCAAGACATTAATGCCATTAAAAATGGTAAAAATAGCAAATTCTGCTCAACCACCAGGAGAAGTTATTCAGGGATAAGAAATTCAAAAATTGTTACTTTAGTAAACTAGTTCATCACTGGTTTCATCTTGTGTTTTCTTTTTGCTAGTCCAAGTAAAAGTCAGTAGCTGACCTCCATTCCTGTACAGCCTCAGGGAAGCAGACTCTTTACAAAATCCCGGTTTTCAGTTGTAAATGTTAATCTGATCAACACAGTAATGCCATTTACTAGGAGTTTACACAATAGCCTCAGCTTCAGTAAAACACCTAAAAAATTAGCAAGTCAATTTAAAGGGAAAAACAACTCCCCATTAAATCCCATTCCGACCTGCAACTTCTCTCCAGGCCAAAACACACAGACACGTTCTCATGGGCAGGCACCCTCTTTGTAATGTTAACAGAACAATTTAAAAAGACTGGATGCTTAAAAAAGCAGATGGAATTTAAATACTGGGGAGGAGGGGGATGGGGCTCATTTGGTGTCTTTGGAAGCATCTTCAATTTATGGCTGGACTGCTGTAAATAAGAAACAGGAATACTGCCAGCTTCACTGGAAATCCTGGGACAAACTGGAAGTATGCAAGCTTTCTCCCGAGTTGTAGGCTGCAGAGCGTCTTAAGTAACACCACACGGTGCTCTGCAGTATATGGCATCCATTACAACATTCGTTTCAATACTTGAGTGTAGTGGCTACCTCAAGGTACTTTAAGACCTTTCATATTCCCCCATATCTAATCTCCTTCATCTAAAAGTAGAAGACATCCTAAAAGTATGTTAATCCTTTAAATTATTTGTAGCATATATCCTATTAGATTCAACATTCAGAAGATGTTTTCATTCCTGCTGCCAACATTAAACTTAACGACTTCTACATATTTATGTATCTATGTGGGAACAGTAATATAACAAGCAAAACTGTAGAGTCTGTAGCACATGCTCACAAAGCAGCTTTTTGTGGTATCATTTGGGAAAATATTCTTCTAAAGAAGCAAGGGGAAGCTTGCTTTAGGAGTTTATTTTTATGCTGGGCTCCCACTGTCTGTATTTCTTCACTATTATTGTGCCGCAATTAATTCCCATCACCAAATGAACGATGACATCTGGGAAAGTTGCTGAATCAACCACAGAAGAGCAAAAGCAAGTTCCAAAACTGTAAGCTCTATACCATGTAACAGATGAAAATAAGCTTATTTTTACAGCAGGCAGAATATCAGGAATCACAAAATAATATTCAATGAGCCTTAAACCTGCTGAAGTGAGAAAAGAAATCTCACTAAGATTTACAAAAACCATATGCTCAAAAAGATGAGGCAGTTTCTTCCCTTAATCAAAAATAAAAAATGAAGATATAATATCACATAATATTTTTTTCTTTTAGAAAGTAAAATTGTGTTCACCTTTGAAAGTTTGTGAGAACAATGAAATTATATGTTGATTTGAAAATTTAAAATAGGCTTATTTTTAACATTTTAAAAAAACATACCTTGTAGAGACCAAAGAAACCTAAGTCCCTTAGTACACTGAGGGCACTAACTCGTGGACCAGTAGTAATTTCTCCAGCCACCTGCAATCGAATCTTGACAATTTCCAGTGGATTGGTAAAGATTACTTGAGAACCTCCAGCCTGAAATTAAAAGCAGAAATCAATATATTAACCTGATACATTATTTGCAGTGTGCATCCTGTTACACTCAAGATAAGACATTTTCATTTTTGCTGCACTCAGTTAAGCTATTAGCAGTCAAGAGTTTTAGTATTAGTGCACGTCACAAGGGAACAAACCTACTCCCCCACAAGCTGAGCTGTCAGGAAAAAGAGAGAGGAAGCAGGTCAGCCACTGCAGGACACTGCAGTACATCAGACAGACACTAGCTCAATTCTTTTTGCAGGAACAGGTTCACCAACACAAAGTTATGCAATACTGACAAACCAAGAACACTATAACACAAGTCATGAAGTAAAAGGAAAAATTAGTAACTAGTAAAGCAGCTGTGATGTGCAGTATATAGAAAGTGAAAACATACTGTTGAAGAGTAGAAATCTGGCAGAAACTTTTTTCAATTTTGACAAGTTCATATTACAAAGAACACATGGATTCCAATGAACACAATTGCAAGTATATTGTGCTTTTTTTTAAAAAAAAAAACCCTCTGAACTACCAGTTTCAGTGCCTTTAAATACTGTTTGATTCAAGAGTCTGAGCTCTACATCATTATTTAGGTACCAGGCATTAAAGAAAAGAAGGTCTAGAGACTGAAGGATTCTATTAATCAAGAACCACTAAATGTTTTCAATGTGTCAGCTTCCATTCATTGGGAAGACATCACTCAATCGATTCTGAAAGTCAGCTTTAAAACACAACAGTGGCAAGCATTTGGGATTCCCTCTGGTTCTTGTAAAGTTCATCTCATTCATCATATGTAACTTAGGGCATAACCTTTCAGCTACACTGACAGATCCTGAACTAAAAAACTGCAACCAGAAAAAAAGGTAATGTGAAGGTTACCTAAGTGTATTAAAAAAATATTCATTCAAACTCCTTCTGGCTCAAATTCAATAGAATGTCATTCTAACTTCTGTTAAGTATATAATTCCGTGGCATGACAGCTATGCTCTTCTCTACGTTCTCAAATCACACAAATTATGCAAAGGGCAACCCTGACCCTCCCTACAACAAAACAACTATTTTGTTCTAGGAGGTAATGACTATAATAAAATAACCATTTAAAAGCATTTGCATGTAGTGATGTCTAGTATGCAAACACCACGTGCATATAGTTTTAAAATTATCTCAGTGTTAAAAGAATTAATTGTAGCTCAGATTAACTATCATTCAAAATAAAAAAAATATGCACAGTAATATGGTTCAAATAATGTGCTGAAGAAATGGCAAATCACACGAACAACTATTCTTGTCTACCACTTGGAGTGAGCATATACAATGTGGTTACAAATTAAAGTCTTTACATAACCCCTAAAATATCCCAAGTGTTTCCTATTTTGACCAGGAAAAGCATACCCTTGTGTAACTCAACTGGTTTTAACTTTCAAATTGGCATAATTTAATTTAACTGCTTTTACCAAACCAGAATCCTGGTATATATAAAACTGCTATTCTTGCCATCAAAAATTAGATTGATAAATTATTTAGCACATATGCTGATTTAAGTTTTGCACTTAAACTGGAACATGTTAAACAAGTAAGCATTCAAAACAAAAGAAATCTTTCTTTGACTTGTCTACTCATCTTGCTGAGTCTCAAAATAAATAAAAAAGAATCCTGGAAAGGTTCTTTGATGAATTGCATATTCCTATGTAATAAATTTTTGGTTTAGATATTACAATTATTAGGTATTCCCCCATACCAACATATATATATATTCTTCTTAAAAATGATAAAATCTGAATTTCAGGTGATAATGTTCATTCGCAAGTTTCTTATACAAGAGCCATTCTCTAAAACACTATTTAAAAACTCGTATCAATTGATCTACTAGCAGAATTAAACTACATTCCCTCAGTATGATATTCCTGTAGTTCATTGTGCCATGACTCCACAAGAAATGTTCCTTTAATTTTCACTACAGGAAAACCATATTAAATTTTAAAAGATTACAACAAAATTAAATATTAGTACAAATTAGTATTATTATTACTATTAGTGCACCAAAACATGGAACAATTTAAAAATCTATAAAAATGTTTATAAGTGAATGCCATTATAAAGAAAGGAAGTAAAAAGATATCTCTGATATTAAAGGAGAATAAAGGCAAATTATTTCAATACAGTATAATTTCAACACAAACAGATGGGAAGTACTGGTGCTAGCACATATAAATGCCTATGTCTGCATATCCAGCCTGGCTGTGTAGACACTTCCAGCATTAGACATTTGCTGCTCTGACTAAATCCCATAGGACTTCCTCTGCTTCAGCTTCCTCTGCTATTTAAAAACACGGATGCTATTATTTACCCACTTCACACAACCAAGCCCGCTATATGCAAAGTTTTAAAAACAGAGACCTGCATGCACCACACAGTATTAAAAGGACTATCAATTCTGCTGCCCACACAGCAGGTTTGAAGAGAGACTGGTCATTTCCAGTGAAGTGTTTCCAGACTGTCCAGATACTATCCCAGAACTCCCTGAACAACCTCTGCCATGCTCTGAATTTGATCTAAGACATACTCCAAAAATCAAACGGTGAGTAACTGAAAGCGATGAGCCAGACAATACCTGACAGAGGTCTCAGTAGGAGGGTTTCTACCACCTGCCTGCCTCGTGATGCAGAGGAAGGCTGGTTTATCAGCCTGTGCAGAGGCAGTTCCAGTGGCAACAAGTACAGTTGCTCGGTGGGGAGCTTTGATCATTCTGTTATTTGAGCATCTGTGCTGGTAACTGCAGCTCCTTGCTCTCAAAATGGGGGGGAAGCAAACCGGAGATGGCTACTGTACTCTCTAATGAAATGATTTCTTGCTTATCTAGTACTGGTAACTCCTATTGTGTTATTCATCATCACAGTAATGCAAGTGTCTCATAAATATTAATTTATTTCCTCCCAGTGCTTCTGTGAGGGAAGCACAATGAATCTGGTTTTACAAGAAGGGGTTTTGAGGCAGACAGTTTAATTGTATGACCAGTGTGTGCATTTCCTCCCTGCTCAAACATTCACAACTTGTAAGAGTCTCCAGATATCCTCATCTCCAAATCAGTAGCTTGAATCACAATAGCACGGCTTCTGTCTTCTTTCTCAATTTTTGCATAGTGAATGCAATGAAAGAAATCTTATCAATCTGGTTTTTTTCCAGTCTTTTCAAGGTACTGGTATGAACTGGTATGGAAAAAAAAAAGACAAAACATCCTCAGAACATTGTATCACCCTGTTCATTCATTTTGTTTGGCCAAAAATTGAAGAATACTGCCTTCTGGTTTGCTAGCCTTTGCAGTCAAAAATGTATTTATTTAATTACAAGATTTTTAAATACGCTCTCAAAGGAAAGAATTTGAAAAGTCTTTTTTTCCTTTGTCCCGAATAAAGACCATTTAAGCTTAGGTTCCTCAAGCTTAATGATTTCTCCACTAAGTGTCAGAAAAATCAAATACATCAAATGTTCAATACAGATGGTTCCCAGTAACACAAATTTTTCTGGACTGAAGTTACAAACTTGAATACCCTCAACTCTGAATTCCTTATCACATCTTCCAATCATTTTTAAAACAAATGACCTGACTGTATAAGTAAATCTATTACTTTTTAGTTATTATAATGTGATTAAAGTAAAAACTACAATTTTGAGTTATTTATAGGCATAGATAACCAGCGGTACTGCATAGATAATTATCTCAAAGGGCCCACAAAGGGCCCATATTATTCTGAAGGAATTTAACATTTGACCTAATCACAAGCACTTATCGTCTTGTTTGATTTAGTGCAAGAAAATAAAAGGGAAATATCACTGTCCTCCAAGAACAATTCATACATGCATAACTAGAAATGTGCATGCCTTTAAATGTGCTTTAACAAAGTCAGCTAGCTATGCACCCAAACACATGTGAATTTTTAAAAATAAGCTGGGTTTTTTCCCATTTTTGCGATTCTTCAACTCTGCAATTGGTATAATATCACCCAACACCTCTCGATGGCAGTATAGTCTTGCACAGTAATACACTACTGTCTATCATGTCTCCTGCTACTTTCCTACTTTACTGAACAGAAGGAAAAAGTAAAAATAGTTGAGGATTGGTTGGGGTTTTTTTGTCCATGGAGAAGCCCACTCTGTAATTAAAAAAAAAATGGTTTAGTAAGAAGCACTTAACAGTATGTCAGTTTGAGAAGTCAAAATGTTTTCTACTTCTTCATGTTTAAATCACTCTGCAATGAACTTGCTGGAAAATAAGCAGTTTTTCACCCCCCTCATTACAGTGAGAGAAGAATTTCCTGTTCTTTTTAATATAACTGCTTTTTGTGCCCTTATGAGATTAACTAAGAAATGAGCACACCAGACACAACCCTCCTCAGGCTTTCACATCTCCATTTGAAAGCTTTGGTGTGTGTTCTGAAGAGAATACAGCTTGCAATTAAAGAAGGAAATTCTGTGTTTTCCATTCCAGAAGAAAGTACTAGATTCTTTTCTGGTCAGTGCTACTGACCATCAATTGTTCTTGCTCTTCTAATTAATCTTATCACCTGTTTCAAATTGTAGCCCCTTTCCTGCTCTCACAAACAGCTCTTAGGGTCAGCCTAGATCTTTCTTCTGCATCCCATCCAATTTATCACATATTCCCTTTTACAGTTTCATGGATGAAGAAAGGATTACTACTGCTACTAGAGTGTTAATGTTTTTCAACAATATCACCCAGGGATAGTAATTAGAGCAATTAATGGCAATCATAAAAATTCATAAGCAATATATTATACAATTACCAAAAATCAACCTCTGCAAAAAGAAATTGTCTACAATGTCTTGGTTACTTGTTTAATCCACAAAAGACAAGCAAGTTCAAATTCCAAGATTTTTAGTCAACTGTTTATCATACTCAGTCCTGCTGCATATCCTATTCTGTCCAAGCCCTTACTCCTTGTCAGTTTCCAGATGAGCTTGTTTTCCTGCACATTTCATAG